ATGTTGGGGTTATTTATACCCTGTTTTTTACCATGCTTATGTATTAGGGTTATTTTTCCCCTGCCGGCATAATCCTCATATAATAGGGCTATTTATACGCTATATTTAACATGTCTACTTGTCAAGGTTATTTATACCCTACTGGCATGATGCTTATATATTGGGGTTATTTATACCCTTTTTTTTAATTTTTTTTTTATTTTTTTACCATGCTTATGCGTTAGGGTTATCTTTCCCCTGCCGGCATGATCCTCATATAATAGGGTTATTTATACCCCATATTTAACATATCTACTTGTTAGGGTTATTTATACCCTACTGGCATGATGCTTATATATTAGGGTTATTTATACCCTGTTTTTATCAGGTTTACATGTTGGGGTTATTTATATTCTGTTTGTGCCTGTACAATATTCCACAGTGTAGCATGATCTTCTCGGCCAGACAATGTGTACGCCTTGTCCTGTGCCATTCATATGTTACGCACCGTTGTGTGAATAATTGTGATCACACACACTTAATGCTCTATATAGTTTACAGTGGTGCACAGAACGTTGTGTAACGTTTGATCCCTGTATCTGTGTACAGGAATTTTTTGCTTAACGTTTGAAGCATTACTTCCTACCAATAGAAACTGAGATGCCGCCCAAACGCCGCCTCCAACCTCCTCTCAGGACCACTACATCAAAAAATCGTAAAGTAACCAGTACCAGTACCCCTTCCCGCACCAAAACCTCTATCAGGTCTAGTGTCACTGCACCTCTTAGTTCATCGCCTCAAGCAGTGTCTGAAGATCAGCTAATCCAAAGGACTTCAGTTGCCGTCACTCAAGCTTTCAGAGATCAGACCAGTTCTCGAGCTTCCTCTGATACACCCAGCCCATCTCTTCCTGCTGTTGCTCAACACCAACCTAGTTCGACGCCTTTGGTCCAACAATCAGTTACAGAGGTAATCCAACAAATAACAGGGGTAAACCAGGCAACGGAGACATCCAGTGATGCAACTACAAGTAAGAGTCAATTTGTGTCTGTTGCTGCTCCCCTAGGTTCCTCAGTCTCTGCTAAGACTAAGAATAAGTTCTGGGGTAATGAATTCATTGACCTGGGTTTGCTCTTAACTGTGCAACCACCTGATGAGTCCTACAGTTTCAAACTCCAGAAATCTGGGGGGCAGCAAACCTTAGCAATAATTCCTAACCAGAAAAAGCTGTGGATCACTAACATAGAACAGTGGACGAATGCCTTCTTGGTATTCNTAGTAATTTTTCTACATGCAATGTTAAGAGTTTCAATCAGTTCCAGTTTCAGTGATCTTTTGTACAAGGCGCGCAACGCAACAGATTTTTGGCTCAATAAGGGAATAACTGTGAGTCCGCTGTGATGCCAAAAATGTCAGAATAAACGATATGTGATTGGTAAAAAATATCTATCTACTGGTCAAAAAACGGTGAACGTCAGTAAACTCGTTTGTTCATGAACTCTGGCTAATACCATTTAGCCCGTACACTAGTGATTTCTCTCAGAATCACATACCCGTTCTTTTCGAAGGTTTTCTGTCTTCTCTTTCTTTGTGTCATCGGTTATCATACCCAGAGCAGTTCTGCGAATATGTTCATGATACTTTTTGGAAGTTCCTAAGCATACAAAGGAGAAAGAAGAGAGCATTTCAGGTCACAAATAAGTTCAGTCGTGCGGTACTCACTTAGTTACGGACTTCTTCAAAAATAGATATTCCCACTACCATTTGCCTTAAATGGTATTATTTTAAGTATACTTTTTTTAACTTGTGCTTACTTTCGACAGCTGCTTGGCTAAAGCCACTCCCTTCGACCAAGTTCACTGACAATAAATTGTGTTATTCTCCGGTTATGAACACTGCTGACTCTGCAAGTGCAAAAAAATATTGACTTCTTTTAAGTCCATTGTATTTCTTGGTCTACCTGGAATGAAAGCAACGTTAAGCATAGTTATGAANTTGACTTCTTTTAAGTCCATTTTATTTCTTGGTCTACCTGGAATGAAAGCAACGTTAAGCATAGTTATGAAGATAGGCCATCAGCAAGAGTAAAACTCCCCGAAAAAAGAAGACAACAACAAATGTTTTGCTAAACGATCTCTTCATGAGTAGGCGCTTTCATACGCTGAGTCCACTCGCATTTAACTAAAGCATGCTTTAACAGTTGTCACTAGCACACTTTGGTTACTGAGCGATTAGCAACGAACCCGAGGCGCAGTGAAGTTGACTATTGTTTATAAAAAAAACAAGGACAAAGTTGTCTGAAGCTTTGGCTGAAACATGTACAGAGTAAAATGTAGTGGTATAACACAGAGAGTGTCTCGGATATATATTGTAACTTTGAAAAAATCTCAGCGTTGAGCGATCGGTACGCTGGAGAATGATTTCCATATTGATCGCAACGATCGCTGAACTTCTTTTTGCAGCGATCGTAGCGATCATGTGAAAGCCAACCTTTAGAGATCTGCGAACGTGATTGGCTCTCCCACTGTTTTCTATTCAACAATTTGGTAATGAGCTCGAGATGTCTCTCGCGTGATAGTTGACGGGATGCAGCCCGAGCTGAGTCAACTATCACGCATAGAAATCGACACCGAATAATCTAATTATAATTTTAGCTGAAGGCTCCGTCCACACTACGCCGGAGAAATTTGAAAACGCAACAACAACCGGTCATTTTGGATTTGTGTTTGAGTAAAACTCGGGTGGGGAAATCACATGATTATAGTGATGTCATCGTTTTCGACAAGCTCCGTTTTCAAAATGTTTTCTGCCTACACTAAAACGCAAGGCCAACGTTTTCAAATTCCTTCGGTTTGAAGAGCGTTTTCGAAAAGCTCCGTTTTCGTGACGGATTAGTGTGGACGGTAGGCCTAACCGTAGAAATAAAGCTGTGCTTTCAAATTTCTCCGGGGCAGTGCCGGGATGGGGCTTGAATCTATTTGTCGTTTAAGGCTATTTCTAAATCGGCTTCAAAGACAATTCGAAAACCCAAATAAACGGCCGCCCATTTGTTTCAGATTACTCTTTTTTTTTTTTTATCTCGACCAGAGTTAAATAAAAGAATCATCGTTTCTCCATTCACATAAATGTGCTTTGTCGGCGCTAAGTGGATCGCTTGGCCAATTAATGTCGGATGAAGTAAATTATTCACCGAATTTCGAAAGCTGAATTTCGAGCTTTTGCCCTTTGCTCGAAAAATCAGCTTTCAAAAAGCAAAAACCCTTAAGGTGTTGTAAACACCTTACGCGTTTGCGTCTTAAGTCATTGTTTAAGTGTTTTACTTTACCCCAGCCGACAAAGCTCAACCGCCGCCTTTTGAAAAGGATGAAAAGTGAATTTTTAGGATGGTTTTTACTAAGCATGAGACGCCACTTTGCAATCGCCTCGAGCACCCTGCAAAACCGTCGACTCCAGGGACCATGATTTAGCCCAAAAGCTGCCCATAAATGATATGTCAATTTTACTCACGTTTCCATTCCTCGGTACTGATTAGAGACATCTCTGCTGTTATGCAGCTTGTGAACCTCTTCCTTAAAGTGGAAACCAGACAGAAACCGCATTAGTAATGTGACACGAAGCAAATCTAGACTGGGCTATCCATGAACGATTCTGGATAATCCATGAAACTATTCTGATCCACAAACTCTCCGAGTTTCCTCTATTAATTTGTGTAATATTTTCAGAGCCATCTAAAACGCTATACTAATCACGCACCGTAGGTTGTGATTACCGCCATACATTTCGGTTAACAAAGAGAACACAAACGGGAATTTTCTCACCTTGGAAAGACGCGGACTCACTGAGAGAAAAAGTGTGCTCGAACTTATAACTGAAATTTGAACTATCAAAATAACTACCTTTTACTCTAAATAAAGACACACCAGTAAAATCAAGAGAGATAAGCCTTTTATACAAAAGAAACCACCTAATGCGTACCGTCCAGTGTATCATAATCAGCGGAATCGATCGACGCGGCGTTTGATCCAATCTTTGATCATAGTGCAGCCGCGTAAGTGTATTTCCAACCTACAGAATTGTAAGCTATAAACCGAGTTGACTGAGTTGCTAGCAAAGTCCTGCAAAGGTAGGCATTAAAACGTACCTGAATAAGAAGAGAAGCTTTCGTCCGCTTACGTTTGACTCCACGCGTATCGTTGCCACTGCGATCAGCATCAACAACTTGATCAGAAGATAGTTTGTCGACTTTGTCATCAAGGGTCTTCATTTTCTCGGAGAGGTCCTTAATTCTCTCATTTGAACTGTCTACAGTCTTCAGAAGATCTTGAATTGAGGTCTGACAGGCTGGAAGCCCAGCGATTACCTGTTGTAACGTGCTGATCGAGTCGCGAGAGGATATTGGAGTAGATGACAACGATGCGGCTGAAGAAGATGAAGACGAAGTTGATCGTAAAACGTCAGGACTTGTTCTAGAATTGCGACCACGTGCACTCGGAGGAGATGGAGTTCTTGAAATATTTGATGCCGAATAAAAGTTGCCTCGTGAAGTACCCCGGCTACTTGCGCTACTTGTGGCCATATTTCAGATTCGGCAAGAAGTCCGCTTGTTGGTCTGAACGTCAGAGCTCGTTATTTGAAATTTCCCGCCACAAAGCATTCAACATTCATCGCGCGCGTCAGCTTTGTAACCAAGCCTTTATCATCGTCAAAGAAAATCACGAAGAGACATTGTATTTTGTGCGACGCTTCGAGAAATCACGTTGGATTCAGTTTTAAACAGAGAAAATGGATTGTAGTGATCTATGTAGTAAAGAAGAAAATATCGGTTTTAAGAAGGGCAAACGATTTTGCGAACACTGAATGCGTGGTCTCAACACGTACATACAACCGACACAAGCGAATGAAGTCCAGTCACGCACAAGGTAAGCCAGTGTTGCTCAGGGTAACTGGAATAATTTAGCGTCACATTCTGCAGAAAAATTGTTTGAGGTCTTGCGATCTGTCTTTGTATCGGTTTATGTTTG